TTCAGTTTAAACACTTGAAATCATATACTTAGCAATTTTTCCAACATAGACTTATTTTAAAAGACGAATGAAATCAGTAAAAATATCATAACTAGATCCCTCGGGCAAGATATCACTCAGAATATGGCCTCTCGGGTAGCCTCTCAGTCACTCATGACTCAACTCTCATCTCTCAATACTTGCTCTCAGCACTCAGGCTCATTAATATCTCATAGTAATAGAAATCATAGTTACCGTTGTGGTGTGCTGCCCAATCCATAATTTATAGTTGACTACGCTCACTGGGGGTGTACAGACTCCGGAAGGGCTCCTACAACCCAAGCGTCACATCGCTGCGGCGCACAGCCCGATCCAATATATATATCGTTGTGGCGTGCTACCCAATCCAATATATATGTCGCTGCAGCGTGCAGCCCGATCCATATAAGTATCGTTGCGGCGTGCAACCCGATCCATAATATATACATATAATATCCATACTATTAGGTTCTCAACCTCTCTCAGTCATTAACCTCATAGCCTCTCAGGCACCATAATAGAAATTAGGGAACTCAGCCCAAACAGTCCTCACAATTAGAAGTGTAGTGATAAAACCAGTTTTTAAACATTTAAACAGGTAAAACATGATTGAGGATATGCCTTCAACAAGTAAAGTGAGGAAAAACAGTAAAAATGCCCCTAAGGGTCTCAATAGGTCGGCACAAGGCCCCAAATACGGCATACAGCCCATAATATAGTATAAATAGCTAAAGTACAGAATACCATAAGGTTCCAAATCAAATACGTGGCTTAATAGTCGCTACGGGACGGACCAAGTCACAATCCCTACCAGTGCACACTCACATTCTCGTCACCTAGCATGTGCGTCACCGCATTTATCAAAACAAGTCAAATACCGGGGTTAGTACCCTCAGTTCCAGATTTACAATGGTTAATTACCTCAAACCGGTAAAAATATTACTCTGTGATGCCTTTTCCCCTTGATTCGTCCTCCTCTCGTGTCAAATCTATCCAAAATCAGAATCACGGTGTCAAAATATGCTAAGGGAACGAAGCCCAAGCGAAAACAATCAAATAATATCAAAAATCTCGAAATTGGCCAAAACCCAACCCCTGAGCCCACGTCTCTAAACTCTATAAAAATCACATCAACGGAATCCTTATCCTCCCACGAGTCTATACATATCAAGAACAGTGAAATCGGAGTCCAAATGACCCTACAAATCCACATTTAAATATCTCTTAATCTCAAGCCCTAATCCCCAATTTTTCTTCCTTAATCTCCACTAAAACCATGATTAAGCAATGGAAAAATGATCTAAAACCCAAGTAATTAAGCTTAGGGAACTTACCCAATTGATATCGTTTGATTCCTCTTGAAATCCTATGCCTTAGCCTCTTTCTCGTCTTCAAAAATGGAGTATTTTGCAAAAATTCACGAAGAAAACAATATATACCTTCTGGCCAGGGATTTTTGCATCTGCGACCAGTCCACTACTTCTGCGGTACCGCATTTGCGGTCATCCAACAGCTTATGCGGCTTTTCATTAACTCAGCCCCAATCCGCATATGCGATGCATCAGCCGCACTTGCACCATCGCAGGTGCGGTCCATTAACCGCTTCTGCAGTTTCCTGACTCCCCAGCCTAATTCCTCTTCTGCGGTTTCCTGACTCCCCAGCCTAATTCCGCTTCTACGGTTTCTTTCCCTGCATCGGCGAGATCGCACCTACGGTCCCCAATCCGCAGGTGCGGAAATATCAGAAGCAGAAAATTTTTGCAGCTTCAACAATATCTCAACTCCCCGTCAACCATCCGAAATCTCCTCGAGGCCCTCGGGACCTCAACCAAAGGCACAACCATATCCTAATACCTTATTCAATCTAGTACCAATATTCAAAACACCTCAAACAACATCAAATCAACCAAAACACATCGGATTCAAGCCAAATTTTCTAAAATCTTTCAAATTCCGCTTTTGATCAAAAACCCAACCAAACCACGTCTGAATGACCTGAAATTTTGCACACACATCCCAAATGACACAATGGAACTACTGCAACTCTCGGAATACCATTCCGACCTCTATATCAAAATCTCGCCTACCAACTGGAAATCGCCAAAATATCAACATCGCCAATTCAAGCCTAAATCTTCTCTGAACCTCCAAAACTCATTCTGATCACGCTCCTAAGTCATAAATCACCTCTCGAAGCTAACCGAACCATCAGAACTCATATCTGAGCCCTCTAACACATAAGTCAACATCTGGTTAACGTTTCCAACTTAAGCTTCCTTAAAAGAGACTAAGTGTCTCAAACTTACTAAAATCATTCCGGATTCGATCCGACCAACCCGATACCACATAACACGGACAACAAAGCATAAAAAATCACAAATGGGGAAAACGGAGCGGTAACTCATGAGACGACTGGCCAGGTCGTTACAAAGAACCTCAAGAGAAAATCTTTTTGGATTTTTTGAATTAATATCTTAAAGAAAACTTTAAAAGAGGTACTAAAAGAAAATTCTCTTTTTTTTTGAATTTTTAGTCTTAATGTACTAAAGGAAATATAAAAAGCACTTTTTTTTGAGTTCTAGATGTTAATTTTCTAAAGGAAAAACCACCTCAAAATTTTTTATTTTTTTTTAATTTCTAGGAATAGTATTTCTAAAGAAAATTCTAACGGAAATATAAAAACACAAAAATATCTTTTTTTTGTTTTGTATTTTTGAGTTATAACAACTTTTTCAAATACAAAATAGAAAGTAGAATAACAAAAGACTCGACATTACTATACAAAACTTGAAAGTAAAAGATGACATAAAAAGAACAACAGTCTCCTTAAGCAAACTCCTAAATGAGCGACTCTGACTGGATGGTCCTAGGGCGTCTGTCATGCCCAAACCCCGGTAAGTAGATCCACACCTGTATGAGAAAATTAAGACCAAATAAAGTTAAAGACCTAGAACACTATGTGAGATAATAACACATCCTGTTGGACAACATGCAAGACACGATTAAGGCTATTTTTTTTTAAAATAATTAACCTATATGGCTAAAAGTGGCTAAAAATACAAGATTGGCCAATACCCCGCGAAGTGAAGAACCTAAGATTTACTAGGAAGACCGGACCCTATGTGGGTTGCCTACGTATCATGCCCCGAAAAATGAGAATCAGTTATGTGTAGTTCGGGCAGATTGGATACGGGCGAGAATTGAAAAAAACAACACATTTAGAAAAAAAATATTTTTTGTCTTTTTTTTGGAATAATGATGACACATGTAAAATCTTTTTGGATCTTCTTTTTCTTTTTTTTATTTTATTGATTTTGGAAAAAATGATGGGGAAAGTGCAGAATCTTTTCGGATTTTTTCATTTTCCTTTTTTTTTGTTTTTTTCTTGAAAAAGTGTCAAAGAAAATTATAATTGGGCCCTACTTGCCTCATTATTATACTTCAACCTCTTTTCTTTCTCATTTACCCTCAAACCTCATTGGTCCGTCAAATGACCCCTTTTACCCTTGAAGATTGCAACATGTAGCACATTATGATGCATCAGGATTGTCTTTTATTTTGGGATACACTTATCCTAGATGGACCCAACCCCTGTGTTGAGTTCCCTAAGTCAAATGCACGTGATGCAAACAAACATTCGTACTAGGGATACGACATGAAGTTATGTTATTCTAGGTTTAAAACATTGGGTTCTGTTCTTGACCTGGCTTACCCGAGTGGACAACTCGAGCCGAAGAGGGGACAGCGTACCAGGAGCACTGAAGTCTACTCGGCTTTGTTGCTGGCCTAGCCTCGTTCTATTTTGGTATAACTTCTACAGAAAAAGCGGGCCACGCGAACATGTGCACCATTTTAAGAAGACTCAGAGGGGTGACGTAAGAAGACAGTTATATACAATTCAAATAATATTAAAGTAGTAAATAGACAACAGTTAGCACAAAAGGTTCACAAAATACAGTAATATCAACAAAAAATAAAGCCAAGTAAAAATCATATTAACAAGCTCGAATTCTTGAACCATGAACCAGAGATTCTAGGTTCTTCTCCCCAGCAGAGTCGCCATAGTTGTCACACCTCCTTTTCACTACCCCCGGAAGGGTATAACAGAGTTTTTTCAAATATAAGTGACAATCGAAACGGGATTATTTATTTAAAATCAGAGTCGCCACATGGGATAATTTATTGTGTCCCAAGTGACCAGTTTAAAATCCCGAATCGAGGAAATTTGACTCTATTTACGGTCTGCGAACACAGAAATCTGGGTAAGGAATTCTGTTAACCCGGGAGAAGGTGTTAGGCATTCCCGAGTTCCGTAGTTCTAGCATGGTCGCTTTGATCATACTTGGCTTAATCAAATTGTCTAATTACTTATTTTAGAACCTATGTGCATTTACCTCTTTCAATTAAAAAATCATCCTAAAATGAGTCACGCGTACGTGTACCCATTTGTTCGGCGCATCAAAAATCATGTCACGCGAACGTATCTAATATTAGTAACGCTTATTTATTATTAAGAAAGTTTGTCCGAAGTTGCGCGAACGCATACCTCAATTAATTTTTTAGATATCGTAATTATGTCACGTGAACGTGTACACAATCATGATGATAGATTAAGTCGCACCTAAAGCCAGCTATGATGTTTATTTTAGAAACCTTAATGATGTCATGCGAACGTGTACATAATCACAATAATAAATTCGAAACACGCCTAAAGGTTCACCTACCCGGGTGTGGTCGGCCTAAATATGCTCCTAGCGAACCCCAAATGAATTAAAAGTAAAACAATAAGATTGCCTCGAGCCTAGACCCGCATACCCAACATCAATTTAATGAATTGACCCAAACCCATTTTTGATCAACCCCACGATTCAAAACAATTCATTGTTTGTCATTTCCATTCAACTTGATGTCTTCATTCATATTGAACATATCTTATAAAACAAACTTTAAAGAAAACAAATTAAACAAAATAACAATGAAGCTAACCATGGTTAAATAAATCATAAGTAGATTCAAATTTATTGAAATAAAGAATTATATTCATTGACTAACAAGAGGGATGAAAGGATATGGACCTGAAAATGGTCTTACAATCAATCTAATTTGGTGGTTCATGGACAGAATACTGCAACTACGAATGGAGTTCAAAACAACAAATCCAATTCGAACAAAACCAGTGGACCCCACATCGGATGGCAATTCCAACAATCAAACACCTGTTTCAACTCAAACTTTATTTCGGAAAACAAAACTAAAAGAACAGCCTAAATTTCATTGCGTATTTTGCATTTGAAAGAAAAAACAAAGCTAGACGCAACTGAAAATCAGAAAATGAAAAGTCGAAATCAAAGAGCCAAAACCCCCCATTTTTCTTTAATCCTTTTTTGCCCAGATTTTTTTTGTTCTTGTGAATTTCTCATTTACCTCTCATGTTTGTCTGTTCCCTGCTGCTGTATGTGTGTGTATGCTCGTCAGATTCTGGCCAGTTATGGTGGTGAGGGAGCGATGTCAGCTGGAGTTTTTCTGGCAAGTTTGGTGGTCGACTGGTTCCGATCTTAGAGAGGAGCATCGCTGGGGTCGTTGTTGTGAGGAAGATGAAGAGAAAGGCTGGGATTTTTCACTAGGGTCCTGCGGTTGTAGCCCCTTTTCTGGAGAAGCAGATCGAGGAGCCCCTCTTTGTAAGACGGCGGGTAGGGATCTGATAGAGTGTAAGGTTTTTTAGGCGTAGGTCTAGGGCCTAAAGTCTAGGGTATTTTTCAGACTAGTTTTTGGTTATATAGAAGGGATTTTAGGTTAATGGGGTATGGGTTTTGTATTATTGGGCCTTAATATTGGGCCAAAGACTAACAAAAAACTATAAAATTCATAAAGACGGGATAAACCAACCCAAAACTAATTTCTCCTTCTAAATTTATATACAATTTATGATATAAAAATATAAAACTAATCTTAATTTATTAAACTAAACTATCTTAAAACATGAAAATATTTTTTGTGTTTTCAAGATTATATGAAAATAAAGATAAGGTACTATTTTTGTATATTTTTTTTAATTTAAATTTATGAAAGATACGTAAACTAAAATGTTTTTTTGAAATTTTTATTTTTTTGTGACGAAATAAAGTAAAAGAGTCAAATTAGTTGAAATAAAGATATTAGGCCTAAACTAAATATTTACATGCTAAAATATAAAAAATCTTGGGGAGGGTCATAAATCACATGTCTACATATGGCACTGGTTGCTCGAGAGGGTAATAGGGTCCACGCCATGGAGGCGACCATTCATCATACTCCTGCCATGTATACTGGTATCCGAGCCCGAAGGTAGAACCATCACGTTTCGGCTGTATTGGTTTGCTAATGCCCTGGAGATTCTTCCCAAGCCTTTTGTCGGGTTCATACCCAGACCATGCTAGTATGCTTTCTATTTAGTTACTCCACCATTTGTCTTTCTCAATGGCATTGACATGTTCAATGTGGTGATAATTTTCCCCTCCCAGCCTTCTTCTATTCTCGATAACCGGGATGGTTTGACTGGTGTAAATGGGGTTACTCCCATCTCCGTGAATGATCACCTCCTGATGGTTCCATTCGAATTTCACGGCCTGATGTATTGTGGAAGCCACAGTTCCAGTGGCATGTCTCCAAGGTCCTCCCAACAGAAGATTGTATGTGGCTGATATGTCAAGCACTTGGAATTCAACATCGAACCAAGTTGGCCCCATCTATAGACAAAGATTAATCTCCCCAATCGTGGCTCTTTGAGACCCATCAAAGGCTTTCACGTTCATATTTCCTGCCCGTATTTCAGGGAAACCTTTGCCTAATCTTTCAAAAGTAGCCAACGGACAAATGTTGAGGCTTGAACCTCCATCGATCAAGACTTTGGCAATGAATTTGTCTTCAAATTGTACTGTGATATACAATGCTCGGTTGTGATTCAACCCTTTAGGAGGTAATTCATCCACATGGAAGGTTATCTTATGACTTTTCAGCACCTGCCCTACCATGTTTTCCATCTCTCCGCATGTGATATTGCTGGGTATATAAGCTTCATTTAACACCTTCATCAAAACATTCTTCTGCGCCTCTGAATTTTGCAACAGTGATAGGATGGATATCTGAGCGGGGCTTTTGTTCAAATAATGAATGACAGAGTATTCCCTCGCTTGTACTTTCCTCCAAAGATCATCCAGCTCTATTTCAATGACAGGTTGCTTGGTAGTGGCCTCCTTACTTGATCCTCCCAAGTGTTCAGGTGTATAGACCCTTCCATCCTTTGTCATTCCTTGTGCAGCATCAGATTCTTCCAACTTTGCCTTTCCCTTTCGCCTAGCTTCGGCAACGTAATCCTAGGGTATTGCTTTTGAATCGAAAGGAGGTGTGGTTGATAATGTCACTATGAAAGGTGTGGCCATTTTTATGTCAAATGGAATAGGTGTGGCTGCAGGTGGAGCTACCTCTACCTCAAATGGAACTGATGCGGCTACCTCAACTTCGATTGGTGACTATGTCTATACTACAATAGGAGTGAGTGTGACTGCAAGTTTAAAGTCATCGCCTTCTCGAATAAGCCCGATTGATCCATTAGGATCCCATTTTTCATCCATCTTTATCACATATATTCCACCGCCCCTATGATCTGGGAAAGGATTGTTGCGGACATTGGGTGGAGCTTCTTTTGTCTGTACGACCTTGTTGTCAATCAATGTCTAGATTTTATGTTTCAATGTTCGGCACTCGTCGATGGTGTGCCCCTTCATACCAGAATGATATGCACAGGTTTTGTTTGAGTTTACCCATTGAGATGAGTTCTCCACTACCACAGCAGGAATAGGAGTGATGTAACTAGCGGCCTTCAACCTTTCATACAGTTGGTCGATGGGTTCAGCAATCGCGGTATATTATCTAGGGGTTTGCGATCAAAGTTAGGTCGGGGTCTTGGGTAGTTTTGGCAAGTCGGAGGTGACTGAAAATGAGATGGTTGGGAGCTATATATGTGATAGGTAGTGGATGGTTGGGAATATCTGGCAGATAAGGGTTGGTATGTGGGTGGAGGTGTTTGGTATGTGGGTGGAGGTGTTTGGTATGTAAGTGGAGGTGTTCGGTATGTGAGTGGAGATTTTGCATCTTGAGCCACCATTACTGCCCCAACATCTCTCTTTTTTGATGTGCTTCCTGATTGCAATGCTTTGTTCATGGCCTGTAATGCCTCAAAATTTGTCACCATTCCGCTTTTGATACCTTCTTCAATCCTTTCTTCGAGTTTGATGATATCGGAGAATTTGTGATTCTCAAAACCATTAACCTTTCATAATACTGTGGGTCATGTGCCCTGACAAAGAACTTGTTCATTTGTTCTTCTTCTAGTGCTAGTCTGACCTTGGCTGCTTCTGATCTCCACCGGGTAGCATACTCATGGAAGGTCTCAGTTGGCTTCTTCTTTAAAATCTGGATGTAGAAGACATCCGGTGCATTCTCCGTATTAAACCTGAACCGGTCCATAAATTCTGATGCCATACTAAGACAATCGACCCACTTCTTAGGGTTCTGGCTTATGTACCAGGACAAGGAATCTCTAGTAAGACTTATCATGAAGAGCTTTAGTTGGATCCTTTCATCTTTTCTGACCCCTACGAGCTTGTCACAGTAAGTTCTCAAATGAACCTTGGGATCACCTATTTCGTTAAACATCTCGAACTTGGGAGGTTTGTAACCCTCCGGTAGTTCCATGTCCGGTTGTATGCATAGGTCCTCATAATTCAAACTTTCTATTCCTTTGCCTCCTTTGACACCCTGTACTCGACTTGTCAATTTCTTGAGTTCTTCAATGATGTTGTTGATGAGCAGGTCCTTCTCAGTGGATTTTGGTGCATAGGAGATTAGTTGAGTAGAGTGAGGTACGGTTTCCACATATATAGGGTTGTTTTGGTGAGTGCTAGGGACTTGGGTATAGTGGTGTTCGTTGGTTGAGTTTTGAGGATCGGGAATGGGTTGTGGTGTATTCTATGGAGTGTGATAGGTAGCGGTTGGTGGGTATTGGATTGTTAGATAATGGTGTTGTGGTGGAGTTGGTATTGGTAAGGGATTGGGATTTGGAGGTGGAGTTGCATATTGATGCGGTGCGGGAGGGTTTTGTGGATGCTGGTTTGGTGTATTTTGGGGAGGTGCTGGGTTTTTGGTATTTTGTTGGTTGATATCGGGGAGTTCAGGGTGACGGATAGGTTTGCTAAGTTGCAGACCTGCTCAAGTTCTCCCTATAACTCCAGTATCTTTTGTTCCAACCATAAAACCAAATCATTTGGTGTTGGAGTACTCTAACCCTCTGAAGTTTCCGCGTTCTTCGCATTTTCCTTTCGAATACCACTTAAGTCATCCATTTTAGCTTTCCATTTTCTCTTTGTATTACTTGGAGGAGGAGGAGGTAGAAGGACTCTATATCTTGTGTGATATGCTAATGATGCCAGTATGTGTGAACCAACCTTAGGGGATGGGAATAAAGAATAAAGAAAAACAAAAGGTAAACAAGTCAGTAAGGGTTCTGAAATGTTTGCAGCATTTAAACACATATTGTGGGAATGTAAATTTGTGTCCTAATTTGGGAGCCTCGTTATGCCCAAGGCAAGCCTAGCGACAAGTAGATTTAGAAAAATTTAGTGGAAATAATTGCCTCGTTTCATTAATGTTAAAATAGACAACCCAAACGACACTAAATAAGATAATATTACTAATGGCACTTGGCCTTATTACATTTAAAAGAAAAGCAAGTAAACCTAATCTACTTGGTCCCAGAAGGACCCTCTCTAGACTGAATGCTATTGTCGATCAATTCCCCCAGTTCACGCAGGTTCAACAGTAAGAATGCCCTTCCCAAATGTCCTCCTTCGTTTCCCTCGGCGTTCTGGCAATCGGTGACTCTCTTTCTTATTTTCCCTTCCAATTCCATCAGGTTGTACTCTAGATATTCCAACCTTTCGCTGGATTTAACAGCTCTTTCTTTCCACTCGTTGATCATATCCATGTCGACCTTATGCTTCTCCATATGCTCAGCTTCAGACTCACGAACTCTTTTTCTTAGCTTGTTATACTTCACCTCTACTTCGACAACTTCGTCTATGACCCTATTTCCTGGACCAACCCTTGGTTCGAAGATCCCTGCTATGTTATCATCCAACCATGAGGGTTAAAGGTATGAGTGACCCGCATGATATCGTTCCGGCTTGATGGTATCCTTTTCCACGATAATCTTAAAAGTCTACATATGTTGTGCTTCATTCTTATGTGGGATGGCGTCACCCCGAAAATCAGCTATGAAGTGACTCATTTTAGCGACTCGTGGTATGACCTATCTCTTGCCTACCTGTCTCATAACCTTGAGGGGAGCATAAGGGTATATGCCCCTTAACCCAATCAATACCAAGTGTGGATATCCCTGGATCTGATGATGAACTCGTCAGTAGGGAACCACTCGAACATCCACTGAACCTGGTCCTCAGTTAACTTGTTGAAAAACGGCACCCATCCTACAACATCCTTAGGTTGAGCAAACATGTTCGGAATATAAGTCATTCTTTTTGGATTATGGAAGGCTATGTGGTCATTCCATGGCCTTCGTGGAAATTCCTGACGGTATTGACCCTTTTGGAGATGCTATAACAACCAAACCTGCAGCAGCAAATTGCAACCCTCGAAGAATAGGTGCCCCTTCTGGCAGCGCTCCAAGGCTCGGTACATATCTGCAATGATCATAGGGAT